TTCTCATATATATATATATATATATATATATATATATATATATATATATCTATTATAGATCAGTGTAAAAAAAAACACGACTTAAGTTTCAGAAAATATGTTTATCACCGTTACAAGATTTATAGGCAATAGGATAACGAGTGGTTCCTTACATTATTACAGGAAAGCGTCTTTACCGTACTGAGATGTGCTAATAAATTACAGATGAAATACCATAGAGCAAAAAAATGAACAGTGTGTAAAGCTTGTAAAATACATTTTAATGGGCATAATAAAGTGCGAAAATAACTGAAGGAAATATCTATTTGTTAAATGAACTAAGCCAACTAATATTATACATATTCTTCTGGTTTCTATACCCAGTATTTTTTTTAAATTCCATATGCAATGCACATACAGGTACTTAGTTGGTATCGGCAAGCACCAAAAATAAAAGTATCAGTATCGGCCAGTTCTGGAAAAAGTGGTCTCGGTGCATCCCTAGTTCTGGTTCTAGCGGATAATACATGTAACAGACATTCACTCACGTTGTTGCTCTCGAAGGACACGTATGGCTCTGTGTTAATGGAGACATCTGTATGCTCTGCCAAATCCTGTAAGACAGAGTCAGGGGTCAGAGACGGCACTCATCCTGATGACATTCCCGTCATCCGTTCCATCTTACCTGCTCACACACGGCTGTGTGTTTGTCCTCGCTCTGCTCAGACGCCGGTGCTCGCTCCAGCACATCTGCTGCCAGATACTCGTAGTCTGAGACGGGACACTCGAAGGCATACGGGTCGGGGAGGAGCAGGAACGGATCGGACGACGCAGACTCCTCTGGATCATCATCAGGAAGGCTGAGGTGAGCGTCTGCGTGAGGCCAGAACTCTTCAGCCGAGGGGTTGAGGTGTGACGGAGGCAGGGAGTCTGTCAGACACACGGCGTGCTTCATCAGGCCGATCAGCTCGTCCATCATGACGAAGCGCAGAGACGCCAGCAGGAAGGACTCAAGTCCTCCAGCGTCTGCGATCTTCTGCTGCGCCTCCGGAGGAAAGTTCTCCAGCTCGCCCACCATCAGCGGGTCCGAGGCGCACCGCGGCCCATGCTCCTCCAGGATCTGAGCGAAATAACTGACACACACATGATCACTCACTTTTTACACTGATCTTAAACTATTTTAAACTCCACTTCCACTGCGAACCCTTCATACTGGATCAAGGCCCGTTCACAGCAAGCACAATAAATAACTACATTTTTAATAATTGTTCTAACTCTATGAGAATAATAACGATAGGGCTGTCAAAAAAAATTAGAATTTTGAATATTCGACGAATTTAAAATAAAAATCCACATTCGGTGTGCGTTTTAGGTGTGCGTCAAGGCAGCTTTATCAGTGGCACACGATGAAGGTGTCGTTGCATTTTAATGCTTTTTTTAGCCTATGCAGCTGAACCCACTGCTGCATTGTTCATTCAAAATATGGTGGAAAAAAAAACCATCAATGCGTAGGAAATGTTTACGTCAAAACTGAAACCGAGCCGTTCACACAGAACGCATATTTATCACATTTTCTAGAGGGACATCTATCAACGCTGCACTCGCGTCTCGCACAAGAGAGCCACATGTTTAGAAAGCCATGTAAAATTAATGCAAGTTCAACTTTTAAAAAACATGTCTCGAGACTTTATGGCGGTTTTCCCCATCCCACTGCATCTCATGTTTTTAAATAAAAAAAAGCACTCTTTGTGATTGGTTTTCGGTCCTTTGTATTAAAGGGGTCATATGATGCTTTTTTAAAAATCATTATTTTGTGTATTTGGTGTAACAGAATATGTTGACATGCTTTAATGTTCAAAAAACATTATTTT